CGCACTAGCCAAACGAGTACCCAGACCCGGAGGACGCTTACAGAGCTCAGTTATTTTCTCTTGCTGCTTTTTGTTGTTGTATCCACGGTAATACAATCACAATATATATATATATTATATATATACTTCTTAAATTACACAATCAATGTACAAAAAACCGGGGTGCATTGCTGAGACAGGTGGTTGGTTGGGTTTTTTCTGACTTTTTTTGTGTTTTTTTTCCCTGTTTGCATACCTGGCAGGGGATGCGGGGCCAGGCGGCTCTCGCCCACCGTGCCCGGCACATGGTGCATCCCTTGCCTCCGCAAGAACACTTGATTCCTGGGGCCAAAAAATTCATGAACCAGCTGAGGGGGCAGGAGAGGAGCGGGAGGAGCACGTGGGAAGATGATGGCATCGATGCTGCTGAGGGTAAGAGCTCGGGATGGCAAATGTGCCCGGGGCAGAGGGATTGGGGTGACCATGCTGGGTGGCAGCGCCCGTGGGTGCTGAGGGGGTCCCATCCACACTGTGGCCAGTTGCAGAGCCCAAGTGCAGGAGGGGTAGAGCCCCTTGGGGAAAAGCAAAGGGCAAAGCCTGTGGCCATTTCCCTGCTTTGGCATGTCTTGTTTTCGGCCGTCTTCGCCAGGCAGCTTCTTTGCTGCCTGGGCTGGGGTCTGCTGCTTGCACCAAGCCCTCCTCGTCCTCCGGCTGGCCACAGCTCCTGCCAGCACCATGCAAGGCTGGATGTTGCTCATTCCCCATCCCTCGTCTGCTTCTGCCTCTCCCCAGGAAGGGGTGGATGGGAACCATCACCAGCAGGATCCAAGCTGGTCCCCGCCGTCCCAGGCTGGGTGCAAAGGTGCTTCCAGCAGCATTGGGCTGCAGTGGGTCCCTCTCTGAGCAGCAGTGGATTTTAGGGCCATCTCACCCTGGATCTGGTGTGCGCTGGATGACTGCCCTCGCAAAGGGCGATGCTGCTCCCTGCAGCACACACGGGGCATCGGCTCAGGAGCCTCCACCCACTCCAGACACCTGGGCAGCCCAGCCCTGAGGAGGAGGAGGAAGCTGAGGAGATGCCACCAAGCTCCATGGCAGGGCTGGTCCCACCTCACCTGGGCCCCTCAATCTGCCACCAGCCCTGCCTGTGAGCAGGGACCTGCCCTCGGATGGGGCCGGCCACCTGCGGGGCAGGGGGGCACGTTCATCCCCTTGCTTTGGGGAGGGAGGATGAACTGGGGAGAAGAACATGGAAACACCAAAAAAAAGGAGTTCAGACTCCAATCCCTCTCATTTTTTTGGGGTGAATTTGATTGGTCCCAGGAGCTTCAGCGCTGTGCATTTCAGAACAGTTCCAGCCAATCGGAAGGCGGCTCATGATTTCAGTATCTTTAAAAACCAACCAATCAGGAGCTCTCACTGGTTGGGCTTTAAGATCTTGAGGTATCGGCTTTTCGCTCGGAAAAAAATCAACTAACGTAGACGAACAGACAACGTCATCTTTCGCTTCACGTTAGCTTAGAAGAAGAAAGCAACTATGCAAAATACTCTTCGGAGACAACTCTTAAAAAAATAAAAGCTTGGTTGGAAAATATGTCTGAATCTCTAACTGTGAGGAGTGACCAGACAGCAAAATGGCTGGTTGGCTGGTGGAGAGATGGAGACAACGGAGGGTGGATTTATCTGCTGACGGCGATGAGGAGCACACCACAAGACTTAGATTGCCTCCACGTAGTTGGCGGGGTAGAGACCTAGCTGCCCGTTGTCCAAGCGCCCTTTGCACCATCCTTGCTCGTCTTCTTCACCGAGTTTGGTTAGTTCATCACCTGGAGGGGAAGGTGGGAAGGGGAGAGCTCGTTGCAGGTGTTAGAGTCTCTTCTGTCCCCTCATTTCTCCCCTGGATGGAGCTGCTGGGGTTTTCTAGGGCTGATCCTGAGCACTCAGGTTTATAGGGTAGAAAGGCAAGGGGCGACCCATGAGGCCTCATGCACCCCATCCCAACATCTCTCCGGTCCCACCTGGGTTTGAGCTCAGCTTGTGCCCTCCTCTTTCTGCCAGTTCAACATTTTGAAGGGCTGGAATAACCCAGAAATTATTTGAGGGATTTTACACCAAAAAGCAGAGCAGCGTGGGACCCACAACTCCAGCAGAAGAGCCCCGGCTGACCCGGCACCAGTGACGGACCGTACCTGCTTTGAAGCTGAGCTCATCCTGCTCCTGCCCATCGTAGTCGTACAGAGCCCGCACCCGCACGCCCTTCCCCACTGACTCCTCGTCGAAGGGGTTGGTGCCGCCATTGGCCTCGCTGGTGTTGAAGGAGTTGCTGCCTTCGTCGTCGGACCACTCGGCGCTGTAGGTCTGCCCGCGGTCGTGGCTGCTCACACTGGGGTGGGGGGGAAGGAGGGAGAGGGGCCATCAGAGCGGGCGAGGGTGCGGCGGGGTGGGCAGGCACTATGTGCCACGGACATCTGGGAGGATGCTGTGGCTTTCCCAAGGTTACAGGGGAGCGGGGACTGCAGCGAGCAGGACCCCCAGCTAATGACGTGTCCAGCAAGACATAGAGGGAGGACAGAGAAGAGTGGTGGCTGTCACCGAGGACATCCCGCACCCCCTTGGGAGTCCCCACAGCACTGGGAATGTTTGCACAGACAAATGCTGTGTCTTTCCCGTGGCATCTCCCCTCCCCACTGGCCCTCACCTCCCACGCTCGCCCGCTGGTGCCCCTGTCTCGCCCGCGCTGCTGGCGTTGGTCAGGGTCACCCCCTCGCCCTTCTTCTGCTTCTCCTTCCGTGTTATCGTGTGCGTCAGGTCCGGGTTCCACTCCTGCAAGCACAGAGCAACTGGCCCCTGAGCACCCAGCTGCCCCATGGGGCTGCCAGCACCCAGCTGGCGTGCCCAGCCTCACCTCGAACTGGGGCCAGTTCATGGGCATCCCAGGGCCACTGGTGCTGCGGAACCACCGCAGATCCTCCTGTGCGTCCGAGAGGCGGATGGTCTGCTCCAGCTCCCGGTAGACGTTGGCGTAGCTGCGAGGAGAGGCACGGATTGGGGTGCTGCGGGTGGGGGCGGGTCCCCGCGGGGTGCCCCGGGGCTGGGGTGGGACAGGGACATGCCCGGGTTGTGTCACCTCCTACGAGGCACGGGAGGGTGCCAGGCTCCCGCACAGCCCTCCTGCCATTCTGATATCTCTTAGTGACCACCGTGTTGGCCAGAAACCCCTCCCCCTGGTATTGCAGGGGATGGGTAGTCCTGGAAGCACTCGGTCCCTCCAGGGCTTGGTTTGCTTTCCAGGCAGCACGAGGAGACCTTATGTGGGCACTTTCTGCCCAGCCAGTGCAGGAGGCACCTACCTGTTGCTCTCGGCCAGGTTCAGGTGCCTCTTGATGTCCAGGAGCACTTCCTTGAGGAAGTTGAGCCTCTTCTCCTCAAACTGCTGGCACTGCTCAAAGACCTGCTCCATGCTCTCGATGTACTGCGGGGTGCACTTGTTCAGCTCGTCCAGCACCTTCTCGTACTTCTCCTGAGTCTGCAAAGGTGCAGGAGGGTACCTTGGTTATACCTCGAGCACCTCAGAGGCCCTTTCTGGGTGCTGAGAGGGTCTGGTTTGTGGGCCACCACGCTGGGGAGCCCAGATTGAGCCAAGAGCCTCTGTGGGTGAAATCAGTCTCGTTGCTGGAGAGATTTTGCCCCAGTAAGAGGGGTAAATCTCTGCCCTGCTCACACTCCCCTGAGCACTGCCTGCAAGTCCTCAACTTTTCTAGAGGAGCGTAGGGATGGGAAAATGGGAATTAATGGGGGGAAACGGGGCGGGATGGCCATTTCCACTGGTTTTCCCTGCCCGATGCCTCGTGAGCCCAGAGCAGGGCAGCAGCTCGCACCTTTTGCACATCTTGCTTGCACTTTTCCACTTTGTCCTGGAGCTTCTTCTGCTGCTCGGGGGTGTTGGACTGCTCTGCCTTGCTGTTGGCTTCCCGGGTCATCGCCAGCTTCTCCTCCTTGCATGCCAGGTGGTAGGCTTTCTTGGCTGTCTCCAGCTGTGGAGAGGAGAGAGAAGGGACATCAGAGCTTCTTCTGCTGCTCGGGGGTGTTGGACTGCTCTGCCTTGCTGTTGGCTTCCCGGGTCATCGCCAGCTTCTCCTCCTTGCATGCCAGGTGGTAGGCTTTCTTGGCTGTCTCCAGCTGTGGAGGGGAGAGAGAAGGGACATCAGAGTGGCAGCCACAGCGCCCTGCCCATCCCTCTGCCTGCAGGGAGCTGCCCCCCAGCTCTCCCAGCCTGGACCGGGCACCCAGAGCTGGAGCTGGGAGATGGCATGGGTTCCCCAAGACATGCTGCACTTCTCCTCTCACCTCCTTGAGCTTCTTGGCCCAGGGCTTCTGGGCTTTCCGGAAGCCGTCCTCAGCCTCCTTGGCCTCCTTGAAGCCTCCCATGATCTGCTTGTGGTAGGCGTCCTTCTGCCAGTTCTTGACCTTCTCGAAGTCATCATTCAGCAGGCTGTTCTTCACCTCCTGGTGCAGCTCACTCACCTTGTCCGCCTCCGTCATGATGGCACCCCACGCCTTCTCCAGGCTGCCGTACTGGGGACCTGGCGGGCAGAGGGGACAGCTGGGTGTCAGACCACAGCCCCTACCCCCTCCACCTGTACTAGATGAAGCTGTGATGGTGCTCAGGGACCCATGGGACCCAGATGTCCTGGCGGGAGCCTCCCACTGGAGAAGCCATGGTACCTTTCTCGATGAGCTGCCTCCACCGCTTGGACCAGTCGGTGAGCTGCTGGGCGTAGGACTTCTCGATCTTGGCCCGCTCGTGCATGCAGTTCATAAGGTCATTGCAGAGCCGGTGCCCGTCATCGATCCGCTTCACTGTGCGCTTGTAGTTCCCCACCTGGGAGGGGGACGGGGATGGGGATGGGGACAGGCAGGCGTGGGAGCTGTGGCCAGGCTGTGTGGCTCAGGCCCAGTTGGCCCAGGTGGGGATGGGGGGAGCACCAGGCACTTTGGGGTTGCAGGGATGCAGCTTTTGCTTTGGGGCTGCTCAATCCCAGCTCCTTTGGGTCCCCTCCATCGCTCTGCGCCCCTTGGGGACAGCCAAGGTTGAGACCTCCAGCAGAGCCAGCTGGGACGCCCGAGCCACCGTGGCAGGGATGCCCGCAGGCAGGGCTTGCTGTGGGAGGGGAGGGCAGCACCATCCCCCCCGGCCTGGGGGACACCCTGGGATGCAGTGACGGTGGCGGGGGCCCCAGGGAAGGAGAGGGCGGCCAGGACTCACCTCCCAGAAGCTGTCCGTTGTTTCCTCTGCGGCTGCCGCCGACTCGTCGTAGGAACCCGACATGGCTCCCGGCGCTGCCTCAAGCGTCAGTGCGGGCGCTGGGTGGCTCTCGGGCAAGCACCAGCCTCATGCACTGAGGGGAGAAGTGGAGGGAATCATGGGGGGGGAGCGAGTAGGGGACGCCCATCCCTCCTGCCCGCAGCACCGCAGGACAAGCATGCAGCTGCAGGGGATGGGGATGGTGCCCATTCCAGCTCTGGACCCCCAGAGCCCTCCAGTGCCCCCACGCACCACCCCAAGGTGCCATCCAAACCCCCCCAAAGCCAGCTGAGCTGGGAGGGAGGACCGTGGCGAGCAGCACGGCGGGGAGCTCACCGGCTGGGGGCTTGGCTTGGCACCGTGCGTCCCTGGGGAGCCACGGCGTGGGGTGAGAGGCTGTGGCAGGGCTGGGGAGAATGAGCTGCCTGAAGAAATTCTCGTCCTGATATTCCACCCTAATCTGTCCTGCTCTTCAGAAAAACGGCATCCCCGGAGCATCACGTGGCCCCACTGCACGGCTTAACCCTTTGCCGCTTTGCTGAGAGCCGCAGCTGGGTCGGGACTGGGGGCTGGTGGGCGGCACCACATGGGGATGGAAAGGGGACCGTGGTGGCCAGGAGCATCCTCGTCATCCCTGTCCTGCCCCAGCTCCGGTCAGCACTGCCATGGGAAACTGCTGGGCCTGTCCCGCATGGCATCTGCCACTGGGATGGGGACAAAGTGGCCATGAACTGCCCCAGTTTCCTCCTGCCCCATCCCCAAAAGGGCTGTGGGAGTGGGATGTGGCAGTGATCCCCATGCATCACCACTTCTCCGGGGAGGTGGAGCAGGCAACAGACCTGGCTGCCTGCATCCCACCCCACACCTGGGAGAGGGCGATGGGGTGGGAGGGCAGGGCTGGGGGGCTCAGGGTCCTGGTGCTCCAGTGCCCACCCGTGGGGAACAGTTGGTGGGTGCAGGCGCGCTCCAGCTGTGCGCACAGCTGGCCCCGAGGAGCCCTTAAGCCGGGGCAGAGAGGCAGCAGGGCACGGCCCCGGGAGGATGGGGGGCCGAAACGGTTACTGGAGCGTGGCACAGGGCTCACTGTGCTGGAACTAACAGGGCCTGGCAGGGATTTAGTGATATAACCAGGGAGGCACCAATCCCCGCCGCCCTCCCCAGCCAGTTAAAAATAAACGCGTGACTGTCCCTTGCTCAGCCGCGGAGACGCAGATGGATGGGGAACCGCGGCAGTGCGCAGCGCAGCCAGCACCGTCCCCCCGCAGCCGGCAGCATGCGGCGCCCACACCTGCCTGGCACCCACAGCATGACCACAGCCCTCCCCACCCGTGAAAGTGCCCAACCTGAACACCCATGGGCTGCCCCAGTGCACCCACAGTGCTGGCAGAGCAGCCAGTGGCACAACCCCCAGGGGACCCCGCAGGGTGCCATGTGTGGCTGTCTCTCCTGCAATCCCCAGGCACAGTGCAGCACTCAGCACCAGGAGCTTTGCTTGTGCCTCTGGTCTCTGGCTCTTCGTTTTGTTGCAGAGGCTGCACTGGCACAGCAAGGGCATCCTTGTGGTGACAGCCCCGGCCCTGCTCAAGGCCAGGGCAGCGACCCCAGGGAGGGAGCACACCCATGGCTGGGGGTACCCTGGGACCCGCGGGCACATGAGCCAGCCCCAGCTGCCCCCACCAAGCTGCCAGCAGCCAAGGCCGTGGGGCACTGCGGGACATGGCTGCCGCAGCTCCCGCTCCTCGCTGTTACCTGGTCTGAGCCGCAGCCTGGGGGTTATTTTTGGCTCTGCATCACTTCCCAGCTAAAGCTGCCGCCTTGTTGCCGCTCTCCTGCCACGCACCTGCATGCACGACCATCCTTGCACGCCCACACATGCGTGTGTGCCCCCTGCCACGCTGGGCCGCCCCGGCTGCCTGCGCAGCACACGCCAGTCCCACGCTCGCCACCCTGGCCCCGCCAGCGCAGCCCATCGCTTCGCATCAAGGCGGCGGGTGGTGATGCCCAGCGCCTGCGGTGCCGGCGGCTGAGCCGAGCCGCGGCATGGCGAGGTGCCAGCCTCAGCCACGTGCTGCTACTTGGGCACCCTTGGCCGAGGGGGGCTCCGCTTCACCCCCCCCAGCCCCACGCTTCCACGAAGCTGCCAGGGAGAAGCCACAGAGCCTTTGGCATCGAGCGACGGTGAAGTTTGTCCCAGCTCCTGCCCCCGCATGCCCTTGGGTTGCTCCCGCAGCAGCCGCCCCCCTGCATCTCTCGCCTCATCAACCTGCTTGGTGCTGAGCACGGCTGCAGCTCATCTCACCCACCAGGCAGCTCCTGCCACTGCCGGCATTGCAGGGGGGTCTCTGCCCTCCCTGGGGGCCGGGGACGTGGCCACCGACCCTGCGCAGGCAGGAGGCTGCTGCAATGCAGAGGGCTGGTGCTTCCGACACTGCGGGCACGGGCAGCTGCCTGTACTCCCACAGCCGGCAGCCCTGGCTGGCAGCGCCCTGGCCCCACGCAGGCAGAGACAGTCTGATTTTGCTGTCCTCTGCCCGTGGCAGAAGAGCCCAGGTGCCCGGAGGGGCTGCATAGCTTTGGGCCAGCGCTGCTCCAGCATCCGCGCTGGCTGCTTGCCTGCCTCCTGGGGCTCCCCAGGACCCGGAAAGGGCGAAAGCGACAAGCTGGGTCCCCCGGGGGGCCAGCTGAGCCCCTGACTCTCCCCACTCTCTTGGCCTTTGCCAGAGCTTTGCCTTTGCTGGAACATCACCATTAAATGTGCAACCCCCGGTGCAGCAGCCTCAGGGTGCGCTATTGGATGGGGGTGCCCCATCCTGGGCTCTGGGGTCCCCAGTGAAGTGCCAGGCACCAGCCCCAGCCCTGGGGAGAGGTGGCAGGTCGCTCTGCCTCCAGGATTTTTGGCTGCCCTGACCCCAGCACCTCTGCTGCAGCCAAAAAGCAGGTGATGGGTCGTGATACAGGGAACAGGCAGCTGCCTGCCTGTGTCCCCATCCTGCCTGCTTGCACATCGGCTGAGCCCAGTGGGGACCAAGGGCCTGGAGGGGCTGCAGAGCCTCCAGGTGTGGGTCGTCTTGCTGCAAAGAGCCCTTTGCCAAGGCAGGATGGTGGTGGATGCACTGCAAGGAGGGGAGCGGAGCACAGAGCGAGCCTGTGTCCCTGTCCCCATCCCTGTCCCCATCCTGTCCCGGGGCAGGGGGTTCACACTCATGGTAAACGGGAGAGGGCCAGGTGCGAGCCCTGCTGCTGGAGTGGGAGCACTAATGGGGCTGGGAGGGGAGTTGGCGACTAATTATTGGTGAAAGCATCCAGGGATGGGGGAAGCCATGCTGGCAGCTGCACTCGATCTGTGGGAATCAGAGCAAGCAGGGATCTCCCTGTCACCAACCCTGAGCACAAACCAATGCAACGCACAACGTTTCCCTGGTGCAAACCCCTTCTGCAACTGCAGCATCCCGACACGGAGCCACAGCCCAGCCTGAGCCGAGGTCAGCGGGGACCCTTGTTTGCCAGAGCACGGGAGCTGGGGACAGGATGGTAATTTGCTGCACGCTGTTGCCTTGTAGTTACCCGGGGGCTCCTGGCAGTAAAGCCGAAGCTCAGCAATTGGAAAGGACCCAATGGTCTGAGCCAGTTTTATTGCAATTAAATGCCGGGACTGACCTGGCCTGTCAAATCAAACAGTCCATGGAGCTGCAATATGAAATAGTTGCTATGTTTTGCCTCCTTTTGTAAGCACACAAGGCTGAGGATGAGTGCAGGGGCTTAGGGGGAGGGAGTCAAGCTGGGGTTCGGGTTTTTGGCCGCGGGGAAGGTCATTTGCTCTCCCTTATCTTGGCATGAGGCTGGTCGAGGCTCTGTTGGGGAGTGCAGCACCAAATGCCACCGTGACGCACCACTGCCATCGCCACATGAAAACCATTCGCAGCAAAGACAAATGGACTAGAAGCGGCCGAGGAAGCCCAGAACAGCATCGTGAGCGGAGCCCAACAGCCCACAAACCCTCTGGGGAGCCTGGCAGCAGCGTCTCCCACTGTGCCGCGACAGCTCCAAGGCTGCCGTGCTGCTGCATCGGCTGCCAGCAGTACCTGACCTCAGCGCCGCATCCAGCACGGGCACCGATGCCCACGTGCTGTTCCTGCTATGGCAAAGTACGGGGGGGGTGAGATGCCCCCGGCACAATGGCAGGTCCTCGGGCAAAGCCAGTGACGCCGGTGTGCTTTGCAAGAGGCTGGTTTGCTGCTCAGCTTTGACCCGACCGGGTGGCTCTGGGTTTCCCACCAGCGCAGGGCCGATCCATGCAATCCATAGGGCTGGGGCAGGGAAACGGTCCCGTGGGGCTGGCGAGGGTCGCGGCCCAGGGAGCAAGGCGGGTGCAGACGGGTTTGGCTGTGGCATGGCTGAACCGTCCCCCCTCTTTGGAGCCGATGTGGACCCTGCGAGGAAATGGTTAAGCGGGTGCTGCTGATTCACGCTGGCAGACGGCTCTGCACCAGGCACTGGGCGAGGAGGCAGGAGCTGAGCTGGGGCTCTGGGCTGAGCAGCCTGGAGAGGCGTGAGCAGCCTGAACGCGCATCCTCCCCCCTCGTTATCAAACAGAGCCCAGGGCCAGGCGGGAGGTGAGCCTGGGCCCTTTCCAAGCTGCCAGCTCCGTGCGAGCAGGCTGCAAGCAGCTCGTGTCAGGGCCCCATCCTGCATCCCCTGGCAAAACCCCTCCGGCTGCAGCAGGACTAGAGTTGGAGCCCTGGGGCAAACAGCCAAACTGGGGCCAGATGGGAGGGGACGGGTGTTCCCCATACACCGGGTGCTCCTCCGTGGGATTTGGGCCAGGGCAGCACCGTGGGGCTGGCTTGAAGCGGGTGCATGTGGTTGCTCGAGCAGTGCACGAGGTGGCTGCGAGGACAGCAGGTCCCCGGAGGTGGCACATAGGTAACCGTGGGAAACTTCTGGGAGCCACTTTTCCAATGAATCCTGTGCAGGATGCGCCTGCAGCAGCCGCCTTGCTTCAATTAAAGTCATCTGCATCAACCGGGGAGGGTCTGAGGATTGAAGGGGGGGCGGCTGCAACAGGGACTCGCTGGACCCTGCCAGGTCAGGGCT